TAGTAGTAGTAGTCGTAGTCGTAGTGCGTCGGCAGGACCAGTAGCACTGGTACCGGAGGATGCAAGGAACAGACAGAGCGATCTGTCAATTGGAATTGGAGCGCTGGGTGTAGGTCCTGTGAGCTGCTCGGGCGAGGCTGCGGAACAGGGAGTCGGTGGCTTTGAGATCAAGTTCCTGTCTCGGTCGATGAAGATCTCCGATACCGGGCATTTGATTGGCAGAAGAAGGGAGGGAGGGAGGCGATTACGGCATTACGGATTTGATGTGCCAAGGGAGGTGGCCAGTGCTTCGTGAGAGACAGGCCGGCTTTCAAGAAGGTGAAGCTTCGTTATTGCTGGTGTGAGACATAACATGTACCAAGGAGCCGATCAAAGTAGGATCAGGCACTTAGGGATATTCGCCTCTGATCGCCTTAGCCCCAAGCAGCAGGCGCTGAGGCTTTCTAGGTTCGAGGCTGACAGTGCAGCCGCTCGGGGTCTCTGAACCTGACAAGATCCGCTGAGGATTTGAACATGCCGCTGTGGAAAGACATTGAGGCCAAAGCTGCGAAGCTGGGCATCACTGTCGGGCAAGGACGGCCGTGGGACAAGTTCGTCTTGACTGTTCCAGAATCTCAAGACGGACAGCTTTCATGAACTTGGATATCGGGACTTGGTGTCCGTGGGATCTGGGGATGTTGCTGCGGTTTAAGACTTCTTTGCGTTTTCTGAAGCCTATTTGGCCTTACAGCCTTACAGTGCACAGATGTGCTCCGAAAGATGAGAAAGGATCGGAGACTCCGTACTGAAGACTGCGACACCCACACATATCGACGTCGCTGTTCGATACTCATGACGTAAGAAGAAGCATCCCGATCCCTATCACCATCACATGAGCACAACCATCTTCACCAGTAACACCATGCATCATAGTCATGTTATCATTGTCCACATCATCGGCGCAGCCCTCATCCTTAACCTCACAACCCTCGTCCATACCGTCACCGTAGTCATCCTTGCCATGCGTGGCTATCCGCACCAAACCCAGTATCGTCGTACCTTGCCATCACCATCTGACCATTGTCATCACCAAACCCAATCACCAAACCCAATCACCATCATTGAAATATTTCATCAATTGCAATATCGTGAACATCTCTGTCGTGGCTTTGATGTTTTGATGATAAACATCATTATGATTATCATCACCATCTTCGCCTCGATCATCGCCATCACCACAGCATCACCATGCCACCCCCATCACCATTGTCCCGACCATCGCCGTTAACATCTTCATAGCCGCCAATCATCATCAGTTACAAGTGTCATCATCAGCAGCAGTATCATCAGCAGTATCGTCGACATCGTCCGGATCGTCGTCACCACAGGGCCAGCGCCGAGCCAGAATTAGACATTAATGTGCGGCCAAACACCTCAGAAACTTCAATTCACCTGAAGACGGATCTTGACCCTGCAATCACCTCCCTGCCAGGCAAGATGGACATGTCCTCGCAAGAGGGCTGCAACAGTTTCATCTCGTCCTGCAACGGCATGCTGAAGGGCTTCATCCACTCCGCAGGCGTTCTGCAGGACTCCATGCCCTTGGGCTCGTGTTAGAAGGATTTATGTTTCTGGACCCGCAAGCCGGCTTAAGCGAAGAAATAAGCTTACAGTAGCAAGCGAGGCTCATGAACCTGACGTGGGAGAAGTTCGAGACCGTCTACCAGTCCAAGCACCACGCAGCTTTGTTCCTGCACCAGGCGATCGAGCTGAATCCGCAGAAGGATCTGCGATTCCTATGGAACTTCTCCTCCACGTCCGTGTACGGCAACATGGGACAGCTGAACTACTCTGGCTCCAATTCGTTCCTGGACGTCCTCACACGCCATCGCAAGGTCCCAGCTCAGCCCCATCCCGTCATACTCTCACTGGGCTTTTGGCCCTTGCAAACCGCAAACCGGACCCCCGAACCCTGAACCCAAAATCCAGAAAGCTAAGGTAAAAACCCATATTGGACCTGGTGCTTAGTAGGGAATGGGGGNNTAACCCATTCCCCCATTCCCTACTCTGAAGCCCTGAGCCAAGAGCTCTCCTCGCTTCCTTGCTAGGCCAAGGGCCGACCTTCCACGGCGATCCAATGGGGCGCCTGGGGCGACGTGGGCATGGCGGCGACCATGACACCGGGGGGGGGGGGGGGGGGNNGGGGGGGGGGGGGCCCTTGGGAATTAGACAGGGGTCTTTTAAAGGGTGGTTTATATACCTTCTTTGGTTTATAGGACTTCGTCTAGGAGTCTGAGTACTTTCAGTGAAGTTGTGCATACGCGACCTAGCAAGCTGAATCTAGTCCCCAAGATTGAGGGTCGGTCACTCAGCCGGTCTTTGACTGCTCCCTTCCGTGCGAGGACAGATGCCATGCGCCTCCGAACTATGAACTCCCCCATGCCCTATTTCTCCAACAAGGAGGGCCTGAGACCTGGCTGCACAGAGATGGATTGCAGGACGTGGGCTTCAATGTTGCATGGAGCGGTTTTCGGACCCAAGCAGCTCTTGGTCGTCGGATGCAACATGTACGAAGATTGGGTTTACGGAGCAAGCACAGGATCCTTGAGAATGTTGATACATATACGCTTGCACACTGACATGCGCACTCGCGCACTGACAGCCGCCCAAATTTGCTTGAGTGTGTATGCCTCCGAGGTATGGCCTAGAGTGTGGCCTGCAAACGGGCCTCGCCTACTTCAGTGTTTTCAAATTCAACCCTCAGGCGCTTCGTTTCGTTTGCCTGGGTTGACTGAGAGGGAGTGGTTTTCCTTAAGGATGCGAGGCTCGGCTCCTTTTCTGGGTCTTGGTGGCAGGTGTTTGCAGCTTTTGTCAATACAAGCTTTAGAAGCTGGAGAAGTGCCTCAGGAGGACGGCGTAGGCTCTTGTTACCTGTTGGTTGATGCAAGACGCTCGCAGGTGATGATGGGCTCGGTGCAGGCCCCGGAGCCAACCCAAGCCTGCTACCACCGGAACCACTACTGCGAGGTGGGGTGGGTTTAGTGTTCATAGGATTTGGGGGTGGTGTTGACATGTTTGGGCCCGTGGAGTCCATAGCTGGCAGAGGATAGGAGAGGACTATTCCAGGAAGCCCCCTCGCAGTGAATTAGGAGAATAGATAAAGCTGAAGAGACAAAGGTGTGCAGTTCTTGCAACTCTGACCCTTTGATTAGGTCGGCAAGAACACTCGTCTCTTCTTGCTGCGTGCATTACTGTTGCTGATGTCGTGACACACCTGCTCATGTTTGCAGAGTGTGTGGATTAGTGCATTTTGCGGAGCTGCAGCAAGTGCAAAGGGGAAGGTAATGTTGTGGGCTCTGCTGTCGCCTCCACCAACATCCGAAGACCTGATCCTCGCAACGAAGCCTTAAACCTTTAAAAACTGAAGAAGTCTCCTAGATCATATACAAGCTGACTTGCAGGTGTGCCCTACGCCCATGGCGCCCGGTCTTGAGAGAAAGCACTACTACACCATCTTCCGGATGGCGAAAGGCATAGCAACTGATGGGCGCAGTCGGGCTTGTGTGCTGCACTTGATGATTTGAAGACGGCTACATGGCATTGCGTGACAGGGTTAGAATCGGTTATTAAAAACCTCTTTCCAATGTCTCACGAACACCTGCTGTGGTTCTATTCTGGGTTGTGACGCTGGGAGCCCCAAAAAGTTACGGAACCTCGCAGTATGACCATTCGAGGGCGGAATAAATCTCGCCGGCTCTTCGACAAGTCCTTCGAGTGCTTTCGAATCGTGCCGCATCCGCAACACGACCCCAGTCCAAGTGTCCTGACCACTCAGCAGTAATTGGATTAAATTATAAACGCACCGAGACCCGCTGCAGTCCGACGTGTCTCGGGTAGTGTTGGCAACGATAGGCCAGCAGACGCAGAGCCCGAACGCTGTGGGACTGGTCTACAACGCCTACGTGAAGGTGCTCTTTGCAGCTCCAGGGAGAGCCAGCGTGTAACGGTAACGCACAATTTTATCTACAGCCGTGTGGTCAAAGCGTCTTGCGTCAGTCTCTTCTGGCCTTTGCGCCTAGGGAGTAAGACCTTTGACAGGTGTTGTATCTGCGGAGCGATGTGGAGCCAATTTGTTCTGGTTATTGACGTTCTGGCCCGTCACGCATATCTTAGCAACATCTGCAAACCTCACATTATTGCTGCGCAGGCTGCTGCTGCAAAGCACGAGGCTGAGTGGGGCGATGATTTTCGAAAATGGTAGATCCCTGCGGCAAGCTGTGGGCAGAACCCTAGCCGTCACGGCTATCACAGCCGTGGCCTTTGCAGACATTTCTGGGCTGCCCGCAGGTTCTCCCAAAGCTCGCGCACACTGTAACGTCCAACACCAACGCCTCATGGGCATTAAATCCAAAGCATGTGCATCTGTTCTCAAAGCCACAGCAGGGCAACTTGAAAACAACGTCATACCCCCTTCAACCCCAAGCATGCATGCGCCTGCGAGCGCTTCTGGAGATGTCGAGAGAGGAAGTCATGGCTGGTCTTCCACTGTTGCGCATAAGATTTGGCACGGCAACTGGTGTCACAAAAAAGGAGTGCAAGTTGCTTCTATACACTCTGAACCCCGAGATGTGGCTAGCAACGGGGTTTTGGTGTTGCAGCATGTGGCTTGAGGACTTGAGCCTGGCAATTGGTAAAGCTGCTCTTCATTGGTATTCCTGAGTCTGCACTCAAGGCGTTCACTTCGACTGCCCTTGCGACTGGCTTTTGCACAGGAACGCATAGCTACTATATCCCCCCAACAGCAGCAGAACAGCCGCAAGTAGCATCTCAAGGTTTCGAGCACTTTAGCCGGCTGTAAACCGTCGGCAAGTGAACCTTGCAGTCCCGAAAAACCATATAAGTCCGAAGTCCAAAAACCCGCAGATTTCTGAATTGAACTCAAGGCTTCACTGCTGGGCCTCTTGGATGCGCCTCAGTTCCACCTTTCCGCCTCCATTCCTGGAGCTTCCACGCTTTGCATTGTATATCTTAGTCTTAGTCTACTGAAACACAGCGTGGCATACTAGTATAGTCAGTATAGTTATTTGTAGGGTAGCTGCAGGCAAAGCCCCCAGCAAGCTCCGCATCTACGACCCGTTCTACTGCGCTGGTGCGGTGGTGAAACATCTGGGGGAGCTCGGCTTCCCCCACGTCTACAACAAATGCGAGGACCCGCGACGGGGTGCTCATCTGCGGCATGGTGCGGTAGGCGCATATGCGTTGACTCTCTGAGCCCTCAGTTTCCCGGCTACAGCATCAAAGCCATGCTAAATCTTAGTTTTCTTGCAGGCGGCTGACCATGAATTGCTAAACGTCAGCTCTGCAACCAACCACCAAGCCCGGAGTCCAAATCTAGACCACATGATGTACATGTAAACGTCAGGACTTCTATGCGGTGAATGAAGAGGGGCGTGTCAGGAGCTGAGCGACAATGACTCATGATAGCCGCAGCATTGTTGGCATTCACTGTGCTGTTGTAGACATGTGCGCACCATTGCCACTAGTGTTCTTGCATGACCGGACGACGATCGAAATGGCAATGACATAAGCATCAACATTCACCTCTTTGCAGTCTTGGACAGGGCGGTAGCAAAGTCAGCTACAGTAGGATCTCAGCGGTTCAGAGTCAGCACAGCGTTGTAGCAATTGTCGCTTGGCTCGTGCAGGCAGGTGTGAGTCACGAGGCGTTCAGTCCGCTTTTGTCGGCCAGGTCCCCAAGCACGACGTCCTGCTGACGAATCCTCCTTACAGCGGTGAACATGTCGAGTATCTTCTTCGATTCTGTCGTTACCTGGATGGCCACAACGCAGGTATCTGCATGAGAAGGTTGCGAAAGGAGCGCAATGGGTTCAGAATATATGGGTTTCGTCCAAGATTTCAATAAACACAGGATTCTAGGCAATACTATCCATCCGTCGCTGTTGTGATCGAGATGCAATCTTGCGACGTGTCACCGCAAGGTTCGAATGCAAAGCCGTTCCTCTTGCTGATGCCCAACTATTTCTGTGCCTTGGAAAATCATGTGCAGCCTTTAACTCTTGATTGTGTTGCTGATAGGGAACGTCGAAGAGTGATATAAAAGATCAAAACATGCATGGCCGTCCTTTTGTCAAGGGCTTCCATTCGCATGTGCAGCATGAACGCATGTCAGCAGTTCGACTGCCCCGTATCTTCGTGTTTTGTTCCGAGTACACGATGCCTGCAGGCTCCAAGGACTTCTATGACGATGCTTTGGGCGGCACTTCCCAGTCCGTGCTGCTATGGAGTGTTTGAGAAAACGGTTATGTTTTCCTGTTTTGTGCTGACTGTCGGAGCTTCATCGGGTCTTGGGCTTTCGGTATCAACTTGTATCATCTAAGCATGAGGGGGTTTCCGAAAATAGGGGACCCTAATATAGTACCCTAAATAATAGGATCCTTATTATACAGGCCCCAAAATATGGTACCCCTAATTTTCGGAAACTCCCATGAAGTTGCAGCTTATAACTGCTTTGGCCGAGCCGAGGCTGTACTTGTGTCCTCGCAACTTGGCGGATCCTGGAGCTTTTGGCCTCTAGTCCCCTGATGCAGTGTGCCCTGTGCGACTCTACGGTACCTCTAGCTGCCCGCCAGTGCATCTGAGGCAAGCGATACTTCTACTGGACGCCGAAAGGGTTGCGCACCCGGTCGAAGGTCCAGTCGCAGCATGCCGGAGAAGGAGGCGACTTCGCAACATCTGGTTAGTTTAGATGTGGTGGCTGCCGTGTGCATGCAGTTGTGTGCCCATGAGGCAACAGAACTTCGCCATTCATCAGCTTCTGGTACATCGACCTATCGCCGCTGATGTCTGCAAAGGCTCTAATGCGGTGGTGGCAGGACCCGCTGACCCGCTTGAGTTCTTTCGAGCCTCATTCCTCCTCGCTTTCCCGTGCTATCTGCTTTTCTGTTGAGCTCTTCATCTGCCGAAGTCCTTCTGCCAAAGTCCCAGGAGACCAGGGCAGGTGAAGGGTCGAAGCTTTGTGACTTGGACTGTCAAGTTGAACTTGATGAGTGGGTAGAAAAGTAGTGAGAAGGCGACATAAGAAGCGGACGATTCCAGATACCGTAGAGCAGACAGAACTCTTGCAGCTGTGGGCATGCCAAGGTGAAGTCGTTCTTCCTTACAATACAACCTCCTCCAAACCACACTGAACCCTACACCCAAGGGCTTCCCGATTTCGGTGCTGGCAAGGTCGGCGTCTTGACCTGCCGAGAAGTTGCCAGCCCTGAGCGGGAGACAGAAAAAGCCCTCAGAGTGCAGCGTTAGCATTCTATCATACAAAGTATATTTTCATACGAGCATTGGCTTTCGTATGAGCACTGTTTATAGCCTGCAGGTGGCTGTATATGTCATGTCGACACTCGCTCTATATAGAGTTTTCATGCCCCGGTTCAGCTCTGACTCTATCTAGAATCTAAACGAAAAGACCGCATGCCGTCACACCGAACCTCTGGACCTGCACACCCCAGCCTCGCTCCAAAACCGCTTGACATCACCAACCGCCACCACCACCGCCACCACCAATAATGATAACGGAAACAACAGAAAGAACAACAAGAGCAATAACAAGAAGAGCAACAACAGAAGCAGCAGCAGCAAAAGCAGCAACTGCATGGGCCCAGGGGGATGGCAGAATATGTGGGCGATGTGGATGAAGAGACGAAGGCCAAGGCGCACAAGTTGGTTTCAGGCTTCGGGCCTTGCAGGTTGGGTCTTCGCTCGGTTGTTCCTGAGGACTCGTTTTTCATGTTAGTTATCATATCTAAAGCCCAGGAAATGATATCTCGGTCCTGAGTCAGAGGAGCCGGCGAGGGATCTCGTGTTTTGCTCTTTCAAGGGTTTTCGCAACCCGGAACTTGAAAGAGGCTCCGCTCCGGGAGGCAAGGCGGAGCCGTAGCATCGCCACTGTTTCTTCAACCCCGTCAAAGAGAGAAACAAGATGCAGCCATGGGAGGTTAGGGGTATGTTCGAAACACACTGGCTGTGACAATTCGGAGGGCACATCTTGGTATAGCGCTTCTTTCAGCCTGTCAACAGCATCGCGGTGTTTGTTTTCCGGGATGCAGCATGTCACCATGGACAGCAGCACAAACCTACGCAACGACAGGTCTACACGCAATTGTTTGGGAGGTTCAAGTGCTTGTTATGTTGAAGCTCTTTTGATCATGCGTTTGCATGTTCGCCTATTTGAAGCAGCACTTCCCTCATTTATGGAATCAGCACCAGCACTGTGAAATTGGCAAGAACTGACCAATGCATGGCATGCACGAAAGAATTTGCAACTGCCCAGAAGCGGTCAATTCGACTTCGCTGGAAACGGTTTGCAATCTTGGAGTGCCTGCAAACCGTATCAATATCATACTAGGGCCTAGGGTAAGGGGTTCAAGGTATATTCAGCACCCTGCACACAAGCACGAGTTGTTTTAAAATGTAGCAGGGAATGCAGCATCGCTGCATCAGTGGTGCTAGTCGTAGCCACTATCATAAGCAATTTATAGTCCAAATGACAAGAACAAAGTATGACCCCCTGCGGTCTTGAGGGTTCAGGGTTAAGGGCTTACTCCACTCAGCTCAGGGTTTAGACCCAATAGTGTGTGCATTTCTTATAGCGGCTTTGCGGGCAGTTCAGGGCTCTGGGATGACAGCTCACCCCATGCCCTGAACCCTGGAGGTGGCCAAAGAGGCGGGCTACCCTCTCAGTGTCTTTGACAAGCCGTGGCCACAGCGTGTTGTTTTTTTGGATGGTTCCGGGATGTTTAGGGTTCGAAGGGAGATTTGACCAGGGTTTGTAGGGTTTGGAACCTCTAGTTACGAGAACTTTCCTCCACAGAGCTTACAATCCCAAGACTTGGGATTAATTACATACATACATACATACGTACATACATACATACATACATACATACATACGTACGTTAATTACATACATACATACATACATACATACATACATACATACATACATACATACATACACACACACG